GGAGGAGGAGGAGGAGGAGGATGAAGAGTTGGGCTTGTTTGTCTCCCACAGTTTCTCTCCTGCTGCTCTGATCCCCACCCCCCGCTCCGGCCCGGGGCCTGAGAGTGTCTCTCCTGGAGGAGGAGGAGGCTCCAGTTCCTCCCCCCACCCCTCCTCCCCACCCCCCCTTGCCTGGGGAAGAGGAGGAAAGAAACAGCCCAGAGAGAGAGAGAGTGAGTGAGTGAGTGAGAGAGGGAGAGCGAGAGGAGGAGGAGGACGAGGAGGAGGAGGAGGAGGGAGCAGGGAACAACCTACCATCTTAACACACTAATATCTAAAAAGTGCGAGAGGCCCAGAGCAGCAGCAGCAGAAGCGGCAGCAGCCCCGGCGTCTTCCCTCCCTCCCTCCCCATGAAGAAGAGTTCCCTCCTCCTCCTCCTCCTGCTTCTCCTGCTCAGAGTTCCTGCCTCCAGCTGCCAGGGGGGACAGCCAGCCAGCAGCAGGAGGGTGCAGTATCCCAGCTTTTCCATTCTCCCTTCTCACTCTCCTCTTTTTTTCTTGAGTAGCTCTATTCCCCTCCCTCCCCTTCCCCCTCTCCTCTCCCTCTCTCTCTCCCTCTCTCCCTCTGTCTTGTCTCTGGTGTTTGTCTCTGGGAGGATCAGGGGCTGCCTGCTCGGAGTTTGTGATGGGGGAGGGAGGGGGAGGGGAGGGGTGTGTGGGAGGGAGGAGGGAAAGGGGGGTGTTCTCGCCAGGACCCCGCAGTCAACTTGAGATTTGAGCAATAACTTCCCCTTCGGGGCGCCCCCCTGCGTGCCCTTCCTATTCCTCCTCTCTTCCCCCCCACCCCCCCGAAAAAAAGACAATGGGAAAACCTCGTCTCCCCCCTTCCGCCCCTCTGCCCTGCACCCCTCCCCAGGATAGATTGGAAGTAAGTTTATGAGCAGCCTCGGGAGCCTGGGCGCTGCTGAGTGCGGGGCCGAAGCGGGTGACAGAGGCAGCGCGCCGGAGGTGGCGGGGAGGGGGCGACACATTGTCCCGGCGGGGGGGGGGGCGGGGGCCTGCGCTGCCCCCTCCCCAATCGGGCTCCCCCTCGGCCCAGGGCCGGTCGCTTGGCTCTTCCACCTCCCCCCCAACATACACCCCGGGATGCTGTTGGGGGGAAGTTTTTATTATGGTTATTTATTTAATTAAAAAAATTTTTTTTGGGAAAACCATCTTGTTTGATGACTGAGGGATCTGGTTTAAAAAAAAAAATAAGCTGCGGCTGCTGACGCCCGCCGGGCCCAAGTGTGTGTGTGTGTATGTGTGTGTGTGTGTGTATATGTGTGTGTATGTGTGTGTGTTGGTGCATTTGTCTTGGGTGGCCGGAGCAGCGTTGGGGAAATTCCGCTTATTCTTCTTCTTCTGCAACTTGTTATTCCGGAGAGTCTGCCTGCACCCCTCACCCCGGGGCCGGCCCTCCCGCAGTCGCCTCCACCGCCCACAGCCCCCGGGGCGCCCCGGGACCCCAGTACGGGCCGGGGGCGCCCAGGCCGCTCCGAAAGGGGCCGCGGCCGCCCCTCCCCCGCCCGCGCCCCCGCCGGGGGGAGGGGCGCGCGAAGTGGGACTCTTTCCGTTTGGTCCAGCCCCGCCGTGCACGCAGTTCCCAACACTTCTCGTCATCCTCGCTCTCGGGGCTCTTTATTCTGCTGAGCGGTGCTGTTAGGATTTCTCTCTCTCTCTCTCCTCTCTCTCTCCTTTTTCCTCTGACCACGTTCGTGATGGTGGGTAGCAGCAGCAAGGTGGCCCTGGCACGGGAGGGGTTGGTCTCGAGATTGGGCATCGGGCGGAGAATGTCTCCTTTTCAACTTTGTCTGTGTGGCTTGCACCCCGGGAGGAGGCCACACGCCGGTTGTGGGTGTAGATGTGCCGAGAGTGATTTCTAAGTAGTTGAGTTGTTGAGAGGAGGATAGGACTGCTAATGGTAGGCAGGTTTTGTTTTCATTGGTGAATCCGGTGTCATCATATTCCGGTCATATGTTGAAATATTCTTTGTTTAGGTCTTGAAGTAGAGGTTCTCACACTGCACGTCCACATTGTGTTGTTTTTAAATGATGTCTCTGGGAGTATGGATTTCTAGAATTTCAAATGGGAGTGAAGGTCCGGACGTGTGTGGGCCTCAGCTCTGGCCTTGACAGTGAACTTTGTGGCTGTGTTCGGGTTTCAAAAATTTGGCCCATAGCTGGGGTGCGAGTTCGTGCATTTTTCTGAATGGTAGGTGTCAGGAATGTAGATGCTTGGGGAAGTTAGAGAGGGAAGAATATTTGTATATTAATAATTGATAGCTGAATATTAGAATCAGATTAATTTGGGCTGATGAGAGGTTTTTTTTTTTTTTTTTTTTTAAACAGTTGTGCACTCTAGGAAGGAAGGCTTTTCATAGGCATACTTTATAAGGGGCTGCGTACGGCAAGGAGCTGGGGATCTGGCCTTTTAGAGAGGCCACTCATCACGGTCAACATCTGCAGCTTTATGGAGGTAAAGGGGACTGAACCAGGCTGAGATGTGTAGGCATACTTTTCAGTGCTTATGCTGTTTGTTTACATTTGGTGTGCACTCACGTTTGGCCAGTAGAGATAAATAGGTCAGCTTTTCCTTCGGTTTTTGAAAGCTAGCCCCTCTTTTTCTTTCAAAGTTTCACAATTTACTTGGTTTACAGCCTTGTAGGAAACCATTACTACATTTTTACTGGAAATACTATTATTCATGTTAATTTCGGTAAGTTCCTTCTTACTCTTCTTAAGTCTGCATTTGTGTGTGGAATCTGTGTTGTGGGCTGCACACTGGCTTATTAGGAGCCATTGAAAATGTCTGAAGAATGCATTTTGGAATCTCAGAGTTATCTTTTGAGGGCGAAGAGGAAATTTTTGTGTGCAATTTACACTTATGTTTATTTTCAAAAATGTAGTGCTTAATTAAAACTTTTGTAGATGTCCAGCTATCCTTAAGTGAAGAATGTAGTAGTATGTTCTTCATTCTCAGAACACAAATATTAATATTTCAGGCGCTGGTTTTTTTTTACATCAGACTTTTGCTTTAGATAACATACTAGTATTTGCAGTTTGACTAGCAGTGCTCAGCTGCCCATGATGAAAGTCTTTTGCTTGAGTGCTTCTGAAGTCGTTGTAACTTAAGTTTTTAGATAGTTCTGCAAGGTTTGTAATAAATGATGTTGCATTTGAAACTCAGGCAAGTGTTCATGAAACTGGAATAGTAATAGGTTAAAAAGACACCTGTCTATAACATAATTTTTTTAAGAGTTGTGTGTGATGAATGGGCACTATTTCTTTTAGCTCTGAAGGGCCCCTCCTTCTTCCTAGTCAATTACCGGGGAGGAGCTGCCTACAAATACTTACCTTCTGCGTACCTGGAGATCTCTAAATGGTATCCAGCAGGAGGTGCTACAACAAGCTAAAGGACATTTTTGAATTTTGAGGGTCTTGCCACTTACCTGGACACTGCTTAGCTTCAGCTAAGCAACAGGATTAACACCTCAAGTTTGCAGAAAAAATTTGAGTAAATCTATTAAAAAATAACAATAAATTACATTGGCTTTTCGAAACTGAAGTTTTTGCTTTTTACTTGCTTATGTTACTCTGCAAAGTAAATTTTTAAAAACTGTGCATAGCTTAAGGATACTGGGGTTAGGTGTAGAAGGCTATTAGGATTATTTTCTTTTGACAAAGGAGTTTATATTGCTGAGGTGGGGTATTGAACACATTTTTTTAAAAAAATATATGCAATTGCAGTGAACTAAAGCAGTTAGTATGATGTGAGTCTCTAAGTTTTGTGGTCATCCCTGTAATATTAATACACATAGGGTATACAGTGGTTGAAAGTATGGCCAGAGAGTTCTTAGTGTGGGAAAATTTTAGGACCTTCTCCCAATCTATGGTGGTCTTGAGGCAGCCAGCTTTATAAAAACATCTAGTTAATGTATTTAGATTGGCCTCCAAGGACTGAGATTCTTCGACTATAAGTAGAGTTACATCTGTGGGTATAGGTCATTGCTGATATGCAGTATTAGTATTAGTCCAGTATTAGTAACTGCATAAAGATGAAAGTAACTATTTTAATAGTTCCTTAGCATTTATAGCACATGGCTCTTTGAAACTGTTAGCGTTAGGTGAGTTGATTGTCATTGGAAATATTATGCTACTATGGTTGCTTGTAAAATTTTATATCAAAGTTGTAAACACTTAGAAATGTATAGAAAATCTGATGAACTTGTTTTGAATTTTGTGTCTTTGATAGGCATAATATTGTACTTTTCTCTTAGTAAAATCAGATTAGATAACATGTGAATGTTCTTTGAATTGCCAGACCCACGCACACATTAAGTTGTTTAGATAGACAACCAATTAATACCTGGACAGAGTTTCTGTCTTAAAATGCCAACTTCATATTAGTTGGAAAATTATTGCATTAGAATTATACCCTGGACACTATGAATTTTTGTTTTTTTAAATATTGCTGTGGTTACCAAAAATCTCTTTGTTACAGTTTTGAAGCTTTGTTTAAAAAATGCTGCTTAGGCAGTTTTCCATAATTCAAATAAGATCATTTTTCCTTTTGAAGATCTTGTGACACGTATGTCCACTATTAAAGCTCTTCTCACTTTCTGCTTTGGTGCAATAGTAGTTGACTGTAGTGAGTATTTAAGTTCTTGGACTATTCTGTAGGCTGTTATTAACATAGAGTTAGCAGATGCCAGAGCTAAAGTTTTGATCGACTCTGCTAACTTTCTGAAAAAATTCTTACTGACTAAAGCTTTCAAGTGTGCTTTATGGTGAAGATATGTACATCTGTATGTGTTCGTATTGAGTACATGTGTATATCATTTTTGTTTTTCTATTTTAGAAGGATGCATGAGGAAATGACTATTCAAATCTAGAGTACATTGAAATGTTTTTGTGTAAAAATAACCCCAAAGTTTAAGCCTTAAGTGGTGGCTTTCTTCATAGCTTTGCTTACAAACTTGGAATAGAAAATTAAAAACAACAGCAACATCCCAGTAAATTGAGAACCCTTGAGCTTGTGACCATATCAAAAGATCTGTATCTTAAATCTTAGAAGTGACTGTGCTTTGTGAAATAGCCTCTATTAGAAAAAAATATAGAAACTTGCTTCTGTGGAGGGTGAGAAAAAAATTTAACTGTTTAAACAAAAAATGAAACCTCAGGTGATACTAACTTTTTATGCTACAGACAGAGAATACTAAAGCTTTTTGTGAAGGAATATGAAGTTATATTAACATGCTCTTAAATTTTGTATCCTGAGTATTTTATTGCTAAGGGCTTTAGAATTTAATCACTATTCAGAAGGAAAGTGGAAGAAATTAAAGTTTTAGGTCTCTGACCTTTGACAGAATTCCTTTACATTCATAATCATAACTGATTTCTTGAAACATGTTTGAATTTTCATGTTATTTTGTGCTGGGAAATATTCATAATTTATATTGACTCCTCAGGAATTTTTGTACATGGGGGCTTTTTTATTAGGCCTAAGTGTTCTATTTAGGAGCATAGCAATATACTTTGATCACATTAACTTTACCAGTTGTATATTTTTGCTGCTTTAGAATTTTTTTAAGCAGTAATATGTTAACACAGCATTAAATTTGTGTAGATTATTATTTCCTAAAGAGTATATATTTTCTTCTTTATATATTTGTGTGTAAATATGGTCATTCCTTTTTGAGGTTTTCATATAATTCTCATGAATTCGTATGTTAAATTTTTGAATACTGATCTTTTTTTGAGAAGATGGAGTAAACTTTTAAGAATAACTTTACTATTATTCGATTACCAATTTATCTTACCATGAGTTCTGGTGTGCTCACCTCTTGTAGAGATTATTAGTGAGGTTCAGTCATCGTTGGGGTTTTTCTGTTAAAGAACTTACCCCAGACACTTGGATAGCATTTTGAATACGGGGCCACTTCTTCCCTTCTGAAACTTTATAAGCCTGTCCTATTTTTTTTTTTTTTTAATAAAAAGAATTCTTGAGCAGCCACAGTTGAAGGAAACTGTCTTTATCCTGGAATCAACCGTAACATGTTTTCTGCTTTTTGAAGTTGATAAAAAACTGATATGGGGGTACCTGCCTGTGATCCTAGTTACTTGGGATGCAGAGGTAGAAAAATCTATCGGGTCCAGGAGTTTGAGTTCAGCTTGGGGAACATAGACCCAGTCTTAACAAAATAATACACAGTAAAATAAATAAAAGTAAACAAGAAAGTGAACCAGTAACGTGGAGTCAGGAAGAGGATGAGTCCTCCTAGGTTGCTGAACTGGGCTTTATTTTGACTTGGTTTGTGGGCCTAGGGGAAAAACATAACTTAAACACAGAAGCCAAAAAGATGGGTTTTGTTTTATTGTTTTGGCTGCATTGAGAATACAAACTGTCAGTACTTGAAGAGAAGGAGCAGCAGAAAGGAATTGATTTTTTTCTGCTGCAGATCCAAGTATTGTTAACCATGTGCATCTCTAAAGCGACACACAAATCAAACAGTAGTTGATTCTTTCACTCAATTAACAGTCAGATCCCAAACCTGCTTTTTTTTTTTTTTTTTTTAAAGTAAGTACCCAAAACTTAAGGGTAATAACAATAATTTCCTGATAAAAGTGGGTGATAGTAACCATGGCAACTGCTATCTCTGGCCTTATGGACAGTATGTTGTATTGATGAAGCTTCAGATCCTTTAGTAGCCTATCACTTTTATGGTGAAATGTAGTAGCATGTGTTGCAGGTGATTTTTAGCTGGATTGTGTTAAATTTGTGTGCCAGCTTATCTTTCCTTGTTAGGAATTTCTTGGACTACATTCCACAGCATGTTTGTGAAGGTGCTGTTGCCTGAAAATAACCCACCACCTGTGTGAGGCCTCCTAATGCAGATTGCACTTAGTTCTTTCCCAGCCTCCTTTCAGAGTCTTGCAGAAAACAGGGGTGTGTGTAAGAACTCAATGTACATAAATTATAGCTCCAACTTATCAACTCGGGTTTGGACATGTTATTAATAGCCTACAAATCTTGTGTTTCCAGAGGAAGTTACTGAATGAGAGAAAGGGCCTGTAGATGGAAATTTTTTTCTGTAAGTGTTCTTTCCACAAGTGTGTGTGTGTGTGTGTGTGTGTGTGTGTGTGTGTAATTAAGCTTGGAGAGTGAAGGGTGTAAATACTGAAGAATTTGACAGAAGAGAATCTTCAGAATTTTTTTTTTTGGTGCTGGTGTATGTATGTGTTACTGTAAGAGTATATTTTCTAGTGAGTAATGTTAGAGAATGGAAAATACTTGCTTGTAAAAATTTTCTTTTCTTCTTTTTTTTGGCCTCTCTATGTAGTAAAGGCTGGCCTTGAACTCATTATGTAGCCCATGTGGGCCTCGAACTTACAGCAATCTTCCTGTCTCAGCCTCTCAAGTGCTGGTATTACAGGCATGTGCCACCATACGTGGCTTCCTCAGGAGAATTTTCATCCAGAAAAATTCTAAAATATATCTTGATTAACTGTTAAAAGAGACCTGGTGAAACAAAGCTTTTTTGGAGGAAGGAGGCTAGAGTGTTGAAACTGATACAACTAAACTTAAAAAGTTTGAAAAATTATAGTTTCGTTATATCAAATCCTTTTGCTTTAAAAGTATTTTTATCCTGTCCTATCTAAAGTTTTTCTAATGTGAAAATGTTACTATTAATCAATGCCTTTTCCAGTGTGTGCTAG